TTCTGCATTTTCAGTCTCCCAAGATCCTTTTTTATCTTTCTTTCTCCTTTGACAAGTAAACCTTAGAACCTGGAGCCCTGTCATTTCTCCCAACCTTTTCATTACCCACAACCAACTGTTGGTTACATAAAATACTACAGAAGATAAAATGTTGCAAAACGCCAAAAGGCCACAAAATATTATTTATTGATTGATTATATTTATATGCCATCCATCTTAGCGATAAAGCCAATCTGGGTGGCTTACAAACAGTAAAAAAATAAATAGAAAATCAATTATAAATTTAAAAACTATTTAAAAAAACAAGAAACAAGGAGATGGACAGCACTGGGTTGAGATCTTCTTAGCCCAACAACAACCTCCAGTGAGGAGTGCCTCACTTCAAGGATACAGGCCAATTAGCAAAACTGAGTTTTGATTCCCTTCTAAAAAGGATGGGAGTCCAACACAAGAGGTGGGGAAACAACCCTAGAAAGATGGTGAGATTGTTGGAGTTAAAAGATGTTTCTGACCTGAGATTAAAAATTTCATAAAACAAGTGGTGCGGTTGGCTAGAGTTGGATATCACGCCTCACAATCAGGAGGCTGTGAGTTTGATCCTAGGCAGAGGCAGATATTTCTCTCTTTGGGTACGACACTTCTGCTGAATAGAACTTCGCATCAGTGACAGGAAGGGCGTCTGGCCAGTAAACACTCAGCTCCATTCAGTTGCCCAGACTCCACCCCACAAGGGATTATGGGGTCATTAAAAGGTGATGATTAAAATTTTTCATAAAATAGAGCAGGTGAAAATAATGAACAGAAAAGTTTATGTATATGTATTTATGCATGGGAGAGAAAGAAAGACAGACTGAGAGAGGGAACTGGAGATTTAGAGAAGGAGGGAAGAAAGGAGTGAGAATGAAAATCATATTTCTGTCACATAATAGACAGGGGCACTGAGCTGAATATCTCACTTCTGACTTAGGGCTCAAAAGAGAATGTTTCCGTGGAAAGTGTGATTCTCCATGTCTTTTCAGCTCCATCCTTTTCTAAGAAAGTTCCAGATTTACAATCTTTCCGTGGATGATGTTTATTTGGATGAGGCTGGAATTCCTATTCCTGACTTTGATATTATGGACTGGGCAGTATTTCCCAAAGAGTCTTCTGCTGGGGTGAAAATGGGGAATATTGAAAGAAAAGGAGTCTCTTCAGATATCAAGTTCTCTATCAATGAGAGTGTCATCGTATGGCCAACTTCCTTTAATCAGGTAACCAGATGTGCCTGTTTGTGGATATTATTATTCATCCGTTCCTTGGTATCTGCCTGCTTTTGTATCAGTTGTCAACTCAAAAATATTTATCTGGTCTTTTAGAGTTGTCAACAGAAAGGGAGTGGGGGGAGTAATGCATACCTTAAATATTTTCATAGATAATTGTTAGGCGGCCGAAGCTTCTGGCATGCAAGATTATCACTGGAGAGCATGATTGATGACTCTTGGCTATGGATGTGTCTCATTGGAGAATATGAATAATGATACACCCAAAGGGGTGGGGGAAGACCAGGGTCAAGGGTGAGATGAATGATGTGTCTCAGAGTCGGCTACTCCCAGGTAATGCCAACATGTTCACTTCTTATAAATCTTGTCTTTTTTAAAAAACTTTGAGAGATGTGGCTAGAGACTCATGATTTGAATAGGAGTCGATTGTCGGAGCCCTGGCATCAGTCTCCTCACCTTGATCGAGGCTCTGTCCTAATGAAAAAAAACTGATTGAAGGAGATGCTACTATTTCTCCTAGATGTCTCCTAGATTGCTAACTGTGGAAATGCCAGCATTGTTCTAGGTTAGGATGGGAAGCATTTTGGCTAATCCAACAATGCTTGTTTCCTGTAAGGGAGCTCAGGAACCACACAAAACCCTTAGACCCTGAGGATTTACCTCAGTACAATCCTTGATGCTCTATCAGCATGGTTGCTTACGGATATTTTATTCCCCAGCTTGAAAACATTATCAGTGCAATGATGATAGGATCATGTTCCTGATGGTAGCATAAATGATATTGTCTAGTCTGGTAGTGAAATGTCTGCAAGGAAGCAACCATATCAAAGTACACCAAGGACTGTACAGTTCAACCCTGAACTGCAGATATTTATTCTACTGGATCTGACTCAGTGCTTGTTCAAACTACAAGTACAGAATAGAGCTGAAAGGGACCTTAGAGATCTTTCAGTCCAACCCCCTGCTCAAAGGGGAGACCCTACGCCAGTGATGGTGAACCTTTTTGTTGTGGTGTGCCGAAAGCACTCATGCGCCAGCACCCACAATGCAATGCACCTTGCCCCCCCTGCGCATGTGCACGCAACCCCCCCTTATCTGCACTGTGCATGTGTGTGCCTCACAGCTGATTTTCAGCTTGTTTAATGCCTTTTTTGCCTTCATGGATGCTCGAGGGAAGCCTCTGCAACCTCAGGAGGCCGAAAAATGAGCCTTCTTGAAATACCGGAAGTGCCTGTTTTCAGCCTTCTGAGGGCCTCTGGAGCCTGGGCAAGGCCGTTTTTGCCATCCCGAGGGCTCGAGGGAAGCCTCTGCAGCCTTTCCAGAAATACAGGTAGTGCTGAAACCGGTCTGTTTTTCGGCCACCAAAGGCTGCAGAGGCTTCCCTCAAGCTTCCAGGAAGGCAAAAAAGGCCTCAAACAGGCCAAAAATCAGCTGGGAGGTGTGTGCATGTGCAGTGCAGGAAAGTTTGACTGGGGTTCGTGTGCCTGCACAAATGGCTTTCCGTACCATCTGTGGTACGCGTGGCATAGGTTCGCCATCATGTCCCTATACCATTTCAGACAGGTGGCTGTCCAGTCTCTTCTTTAAAACCTCTAGGGATAAAGCACCCATTTCTGAAGGCAGGCTGTTCCTCTGGTTAATTGTCCTCACTGTTAGGAAGTTTCCTGACAGGTCTCATTGTTCAAGTCTGGCAAGATTCTTTTCGATGCTGAACTTGTCTTCTGGGATGTTGGCTATTACTGCCAGTTTAGTGTCATCTGCAAATCTGATGAGTTCTCCTTCTATTCCCTGATCTAAGTCATTTATACAGATATTGAGAGTATTTGGCCCAAGATGGAACTTTGTGGTACCCCATTGCTTACTTTCTTCCACGTACATGTACTATCACATTACTTGTACTACTTGCTGAGTATGATTTGTCAGCCAGTTAGAAATCCATCTAGGTGCTGCCTATCTCACATTTTTCTAGCTTACAAGAAGTAGGATGTGGTCTACATTGTTGAATACCTTGCTGAAATCTAAGTTTACTCTAACCACAGCATTTTACTGGTCTACAAACAGAAGTAGAAAAATATTTGGACAGGAGAGCTATTAGTCTTTGCTGAATATTGAGAGGACTTTGAGATCATAACCTGCTTGAAATCACCCAAACAAAAATATTTTCATTATATTTGAGACAAGATTTTAAAAGTAACTTCTGAGTTCATGAACCCATCTTTGCACTGACTTCCACTTTTTAAATGAATTCCCTAATCCATAGTTTTCCATAATTTTCTTTCTGTTTAGAAAGCCCCTTTTTCTAGGTGTACCAAAAGTTGCCTCCCAGGATACACCAAGCTCACAAGGGAAGGAAAACCAGTGTGCTGCTATGACTGCTCTCCATGCATGGAAGGAACAATCTCCACACAGGAAGGTAGGTGGCTCAAGGACAAAAATGGAGCAGCAGCCTTTTATTCTAGAGACACTTAGAGTAACCAAGATTTAATCTCCTATGCCAGTATGCTGCATCCATACTCAGGAAACAGAAAAAAAGACACAGCAATGTGTAGTGTTCAATAAAAGTAGGATTTTACTATGGTGGATGTTTTCAGAAACTGCTGAAACAGTAAAAAGTAATATTGAAAAAGATGGGAAAATATTGAAAGATGACAGAGTTTGAAACTGGTATACAAAGCCAAGTTTAACTATAAAGAGCCATATATAAATAATTTTTGAAATGGGACATGGAGATGGAACAAATAAACAACTGGATGATAAAATGGATACAAAAATCAAATAAATAATTGCAATACAAAAATGAGAACAACTTTGGGGGGAAAATCCAGGAAATTCATTCCAAGTTTTAATATAAGGGGAAACGTGTTACAGACAGTATACAATTATATCAACAATTGATAAAACAGACAAATAATACAACAATAAATGTTGGAAATCCTATAACAAAGAAGGAATATTTTATCATGTATGGTAGTTATGCAAACAAACTCAAAAAAATGAGAGAATGAAATGCATCAGAATATTCAGAAAAAATACCCGAAACAAACATTCAATTGAATCCCCAAATCTTCTTTTGAGGTAAAACTCTATAAATCTGGTACAGAATAGGAATGACACATTTTGTCAGTGGAAAGTGGAATTAGAGAATTTGCGGCAATGCCAATATTTACAGACAACTAAAGTATCTATGATAGAACTAGCAAGAATGGCTACCATACCACACATGAGACAGAGAATTTAGAAATGTGGAATTTCCTGAAAGACAGTTCTGCACTTCGCAAATAAAGAGAAGGGATGGTGGCAATGTTTCTCTATAACCATTTTCTACTTTATTCATGCTTGGTAACTATATCTTTTTGTGTTATTCAATTGTCAATATCCAGTGTAAATCATTTTTCCTTTAAATTTCATGATTCTAATGATAGAAATATTTTTCTCTTTAAAAAAAGGCCGAAAAGAAGCAAAGAGCGCCTTCACTCTGCCTCTGGTCAATTGGTCATGAGGTATAAAATGTCAGTGAATCACTAGATAAACAGAAATTCATGTTTTCCAGATGCAGCCCATTGGGAAAAGTGTCTAGATGAACAGTATTCCAACCAGAAGCAAGATCAGTGTATCCCCAAAGTTAAGACTTTCCTGTCCTACAAAGAAATGTTAGGTCTCATCCTGGCAATCACAGCCTTAGTTTTCTCTCTAAACACCACCTTAGTTCTAGGAATCTTCATTAAATACCGAGAAACTCCCATAGTCAAAGCCAACAACCGGGATCTCACCTACATTCTTCTGGTCTCTCTCCTGCTTTCCTTTTTGACCTCCCTTCTATTCATTGGTCAGCCCCAGAAAGTGACTTGTCTTCTTCAACAAATCACCTTCAGTGTGGTTTTCTCAGTTGCCGTGTCTTCCTTGCTAGCCAAGACAATCATGGTGGTGGTGGCCTTTTTGGCCACAAAACCAGGCAGCAGGATGAGGAAATGTTTGGGGAAAAGTCTGGCCAACTCCATTGTCTTGTCCTGCTCTGGGATTCAGGTGGGCATCTGCCTTACATGGTTGGGAATCTCTCCCCCATTTCCACACTCTGACCTGCATTCCCAACCAGGACAGATCATCCTGCAGTGTAATGAAGGCTCAGTTATCATGTTCTACACTGCCCTTGGCTACATGGGCTTTCTGGCTTCCATCTGCTTCATAGTGGCTTTTCTCGCCAGAAGACTCCCAGGGACTTTCAATGAAGCCAAGTGGATCACCTTCAGCATGCTGGTTTTCTGCAGTGTTTGGATCTCCTTTGTCCCTACCTACCTGAGCAACAAAGGGAAATACATGGTGGCTGTGCAGATCTTCTCCATATTGGCCTCCAGCCTGGGTTTACTGGGCTGTATTTTTGTCCCTAAATGTTACATCCTTATTCTGAGACCTGACATGAACACTAAGGAGCATCTAATAATGAAAAACAATGAGGCCTCTTGATTTTGAAACTTATTTGTTACCCAAATTATTCTTAAGATAAAATAGGATAGTTGGAAGTGAAATATTTGTTATATGTTCTAAAAACTCTCTTTCACATGAAGTCTCAATTATGACTGATATAATAAGATATATTAGAGATTTGAAAGAGGTCTTTTTCTTTGGATACACACACACACACACACACACTTTTAAATAATTACTTTACCATAATCCATATTTAGGAAGAATCATAAAATATCACTAACCATATATTTTCTGAAACCAATTAATAGAACACCTTTGCTTTATCGAATCTCTGGAAGAGATAATAAACTTTTGCTAATGTTGATGAAGTTGTGATGTGTTTTGTTTCTTTTCTTTTCATGTCATGTTATTATGGGTTGAGCTTTTTTCCTTTACCTGACCAATTAATTATTTGCTACATCCACTTTTTTTCTGCAGACCTGAGCCAACCCAATTGTTTATTTGAAAAATAAAGTGTGCTTACATAGAGAAGGCTATTGAAATTTGTTTCACAATGTAGAATCATGTTTCTCTTCTTCTAATCCAAATTCCCTTAATACCCATTCAGCATACAGAATGAATAAATAAGAATAGAATATTTTGTTTCATTTCAATTCTTTACCATCCTGGTGTCACTTGGTTTTGCCTTGTTCTGCTCAAAATTCAAAGTGGTGCTTTCAATTTATCAGCCGTTCCTACCACCTCTTGCCACAAGAACAGGAAAAACCACTATTGTCTTTCATTTTGGCCAACAGGGCTTTGAGAAGATGCAACAAGAGAAGCCACTAAAACTTGGGAGTGTCTTTTCCCCCTCTTTCATCCAGACAAAGAAGAGCAGAAAGTCTAAAGCACAGGCTGGGCTGGGCTTGTCACATGCCAGGATGCCTAGCAAAGGTTGATGGTCAGTGATGAGTTCAAACTGGTGTCCATAGAGGTATTCATGGAATCTTTTGACTGAGGCCACTGCAGCCAATGCCTCCTTGTCTATTTGGCTGTAGTTGCGCTCCGACTTGGAGAGTGTATTTGAAAAGTATGCGACAGGGGCTTCCTGGCCATTAGGCAACCTATGGCCTAGGACTGCCCCAATCCCATAAGGGGATGCAGCGCAAATTAAGATAAGGGGAAGAGCATCACTGAACTGTATGAGTACCTTGGCTGAAGTGAGTAGGGATTTTATTGCAGTGAATGAGGCCTATTCCATGGCTCCCCTCTTCCAATGTGTCTTAGAATCTAACAGCCTGTGCAAAGGTTCTGCTACAGTGGCCTTGTGGGGCAGGAAAGAGCTGTAGAAGTTAAGTAGTCCCAAAAAAGGTTGCAACTCAGTTTTGTTCTGAGGCACAGGGGCTTCCTGAATATCTCGTACTTTGGATTCCACAGGGTGAATTCCCTTGCAGTCAATGTGATAATCTAGGAAGTCTATCTTGGAAGCTGAGAAGATGCATTTGTTTCTGTTTAATTTTAGTCCAGCATTTTGAAAACACTGGAGAACTTTTGGCAACCTTGCCAAAACAATTACTACCCACCTGCCTTCAATCGAGGACCTCTATACTGCACAAGTCAAAAAGAGGTTTGTGAAAATATTTACAGACCCCTCACATCCCGGACATAAACTGTCTCAACTCCTTCCCTCAAAACGATGCTATAGAGCACTGCAAACCAGAACAACTAGACACAAGAACAGTTTTTCCCCAACTATTACTGTTAATCTTCTCATCACTCCTTATCACCCATCCCCTCCCACTTGTGATTGTAGGGTTGTAGCTTTGTCGCTTCTATCTTTATGATTTATATTGACTGTTTCCTAGTATGATTTGATTGTTGATTGTACCCTATGACTATCATTAAGTGTTGTATGGTATGATTCTTGATTCTTAACGAATGTATTTTTTCTTTATGTATACGAGAGTATACCAACATAAATTCCTTGTGTGTCGAATCACACTTGGCCAATAAAATATTCTATTCTATTCTATTCTATTCTATTCTATTCTATTCTATTCTATTCTATTCTATTCTATTCTATTCTATTCTGTTCTGTTCTGTTCTTGTGGGCTGTCAGCAGCAATGAGGATGTCATCGAAGTGCAGGATGACACCTTTGATATTGTATAGTAAGCGTTCCATGATTGATTGAAATATGCCAGAGGCAATGCTGACACCAAATTGTAAACGCTTACATTTGAAAGTTCCCCTATGAGGAATGATCGTTTGGGCCTCTGCTGTCTCATTGTCCACTGGGAATTGCTGGTATATTTGAGTCATGTCCAGCTTGGTAAAAATGCAGCTTTTACCCAGCGAATGGAGCAGGTGCTGTATGATTGGCACAGGATAAGCGTTTGATTGGAGCCCCTTGTTAATCGTGGACTTGTAGCCAGAACAAATTCTTATGGAGCCATCTTGTTTCAGGGGTATTACAATGGCGGTTTCCCATTTAGCAAAGTCACTTGGCTCCAAAACCCCTTGAGAAATCAATTTGTCAAGTTGGGCATCCACTTTAGAATGCAATGCCAATGGCACTCTGCGTGTTTTGAGGTGTATAGGAGCTATATTTGGGTCCAGGTTAAGAGAAACAGGAGTGCTATTGTAACAGCCCAGTTTGTCATTGAAAACTTCTGAATAATCAGCAAGAAGTTGCTGTAGGTTGCGGGGGTGGGGTGGGGTGACTGCATTTATTCCAGTCACTTGTAGACCTAGTGAGTGGAACCAGTCCAAACCTAATAAACTTGGCAGGCTGCCATAATAATTGGTGGCAGGTGACCCTGAAAGTTGTTGTACTGAATATGGAACATGCCTGTTCCGAGGACTGGAATGGGTTGTCCCTGGTAGTCCCTCAGGATCAGACTGCAGAGGCTCAGCAGTTTCCTTTTGAAGTCTGGTAGCAGATTCTTCAGTGTCTTCCATGATGAGGGATAAAGATGATCCAGTGTCTACCTCCATCTGACAGGGGCTGCCTTCTAGGAGAAGATCAACATTGATTTTATTAACATTAAAACAATAAGGCAGTGACTCAGCTCTTGGGAATGCTTTGTTGATGGCATAGCATTCCTCTTTGGGTTTGAAATTTTTTGGCTGGTTCAGATGTTGAGATGGCAGGCTTGTGTTTCTTGGTGCCTGACAAATTCTAGCTAGGTGGCCTTTCTTCTGGCATTTTAGGCAGACTGCATTTCTAAAACAGAAAGTGGCTCTCAGATGGTTTCTCCCACAGCTGAGGCAAATCAGCTATGGTGTCAGTTGTCTTCTGTCAGTGGGAAAACTTCTTCTCTGCGTGGGCTGAGGTGTTCTTTTTTTGTAAATTTTATTTGAGTTTTCACAAAGAGAAAAAAAAATACAAATAAAACATCTTTTTTGAAAGCAGCATAATCCCGGGTTACATTTCTTTGTACAGACACAAATTCAGGTTCATGCTCATTTTTATATTCTATTCCATATCTTATTACTATTTTACATTTTCTGCATAGCTTCTCCCCTCTTTTAATTTTCTCAATTTTATTTTAATTATCTCATCTCAATTCAAATCATTGTATTTATATTTTTTGTCTGTCCTGTTTCAATTATCTATTATCTTTTCTCATTAAACAAAATTTCTCCTGTAGTTACTGATTAGAGTATGACGCCTTTATATCTTTTCCTAAAGTTGTAACATTCAATATAATACATAACTTCCATTCGGATTCTGCTTGGTACATTCTTAAAATACACACTGTATTCTTAATTTTTTTTTTATAAATGTATATAATTAAAACAACATTCCATACCAATTCAATTCTATCGTTAGATTTTCACCCATTATCTCTTAATAGGTGCTGTTTCTCTATATCTTGCTCCGGTCCTTTGTAACTTCTTTTCCTTTCCTTCTTCCCTCTCTTCTTCTCTCTCCCCCTTTTCCCCCCTTGTCCATCTACCTCTATTTCTCTCTTCTGTATTCCCCTTTTCTGTTGCTTTCCAGTATTATACTTGTTTTTCAAATTATTTTTCTTTTCTTTGGTTGTTTTTTTAAGTCTTAAATTCTCCATTCTCTTCCCCCCCCCTTTCCTTTTTCTTCCCCACATAAAATTACTTGTTCCTTAAAGATGGCTTCTTCTTTGTCCCAGTGTTCTTGTTTTGCAGTCTTTTCTTGTTGTTTCTCATAGTTCCAAATCTCCATTTCTAAGAATTGAAAAATGAAGTGAAAAGAACCCTTCCCTTCTTGTGCATCTTCTTTGTACTTTTTAAGTTCCATTTTCAATTCATCCAGAAGTGGTGCCATTGTATAAATTTTTAAACAACCAACCGGTTGATTTCAGTCATTCAAATATAATAACCAAAAATCCAAAGATCACCAAATAATCCAAATACACGCAAGCTGTTTCTTTTTTGCTCTTTTTTTTTTCACTTTCTCTTCCTGGGGTTACTATTTAGTTGCAAAGTTTCAGTTAAAATGTATCTTTTAGAAGTCTTGTTGAAGTTTTACTGTAGATTCTTTTTAATTCCAGGCAGTCTCCTCCCTCTTCCAGATCCTGCCCTTATTCTTTTTCTCTCCCTTCCTGCTTATGAAAAAGAAAGTTTTTAATGTCCAGAAATCTTTATTATCCCTTTGGCATTTTGTTTTATTTTCAGCTTAATTGCCTATAGATGTCAAAGCGGATTTTTACGATTTCTTATTTAAGTCTCTTAGTTGTCAGTATAGGGAAGGATAGAGAAGAAAGGAAAAAAAGCCAAACCTTTCCCTTTTCACTTTCCTTCGCTGCTTCTGACTCTTCTTTGGGAGCGATGTTATTTTTTGTAAGTTTAAATTCCAGGGTACCTTGGTTG